CCTTTGCCTGCCCAACGGGGCCCCCTCTGAGAATAGACAAGGGAGAGACTGTTTATCTGGCCACCGGCCATCGCTAAGCCCTTTATGTGCTCCGTCTTGTTAAAGCCAGAGCCCCGTGAGCTCTAGAGAGTTTAATGGCCATTTTAAACTCTGGTGGGTATATTGAGGCATTTGGGGGTGAAGGAAGTGCAGGCAGGGCCAGGAGTGCCACCCAAAGCCCATGCTCGTCACCCCAGGCTACATCCTAGAGCAAATATTTGGCCCACAAAGATCTGAAACCTTTTTGAGCCCGTGTTTAAAAATTGGGAGATTTTACATAAAATATCCAGATTTCTGGATCTTTTGAAAACTCAGAAGATCCGACAGTGCTGGGCCCCACATTCCTGAGCGCACCTCAGCTTCGCTGAAGCCCCCGCCCGGTGGTTCCCGTCCACCCAGACCCCGCCCCTTCCTGTTAACCTGTTCTCCACGCTTCCCAGCCACTGGCCGTTCACCTTGTACTGTTTCTACACGCAGTAGGGAAATATGGCTTCCTGGCTCTATTGCTATCGAAACAGGCAAACGAAAGAAATCTCAAGAAAGAAAAGAGGATCTATTTCTCTTGAGAACTAAAAATATTCTAGTGTGTTTATCCTACAGATAAAACGTGTCCCGTATTAGTCAGGGTTCTCCAGAGAAACAGAGCCAGCAGGTTGTGGATCTCTATAAAGAGGAATTGATTGTGGAGGCCGGGTAAGTCCCATGTCTTCAGGCCGGAGACTCAGGGAAGAGTTGCAGTCTGAGTCCAGAAGCTGTTTGCTGGAAGATTTCTTCCTCAGGGAAGTCAGACTTTGTTCTGCTCAGGCCTTCATCTGATTAGACGAGGCCCACCATGTTATGGAGGGGAATCTGCCTTACGCAGAGCCCACTGATTTAGCTGTAGCTCTCATCCAAGAAATGCTATCTCAGAAACATCCAGAATAATGTTTGACCAGACGTCTGGGTGCCTTGGCCCCACTGATTTGACGTGTAAAATTAACCATCACAGCCCCTTCCTGGCCTTACAACCGTATGTGTAGGTCACTGCAGACCACAGAACCTGGCCTGCTTACATCCACATGCCAGCCTTGGTCCTTTGGGGACCCCTAATGTCACTGACCCCAGCTCGATAACAACATAAGGAAGAAGGTCTGCTGTAATTTTTGTTAAAACTTTTTTCTTTAAATTGTCTCTAGTTATTGAAAGCTGTTATTTCAGATTACAGGGAGTAGTCAAAATAGATATGTTGTCGAAAAGAAAAACTATGGAATCAGTTGCTTTTAGCTTGGTAGTTCTGCCACAGATTCGATAGTTGGCAAGGGTTTGTTTTAGGAGGGAGCGATTAGTGGGGCCTCTAGCTGATGGGGGTTCTGGCTTGGGCTGCGGATTGGGCGCCCAGAAACAAGAGAAAGGAACCGACAGCTTCTGGGCCTAGGTCTCAGCTTCCCGGGACAGCCCAAGGACTCATGAAGAGCTGTTGTCACGTCAGAGTGGGGGTCACTAATGGCGGGGGGCTGCCCTCCACCAGAGCGGGGCCGAGCGGGGCCCGGGGGAGGCCGGCTGGCGGGTGCGCTGGGGCAGAATGCCCTGCTCCTGGGAATGGGGTGATTTACATTTGGCATCTGTTTGGACCGAGAATGGGAATTGCCTTTGTAATTTCTTCTGTCATGCCTCAGTCAGAAAATTAAGCTGTTTACGTGACAGACTATGGAAGGTTAATGGCTCTTGTCGGAAAGGTCAGGTGGTCATTTCGAAGGGAGGTTGTGCTGAATAATCGGAAGGACACGAAAATAAAGCATCAAATCTATGTGGCTGCTTCTCCTGGGTTTTCCCTGTCTTCCCAGCACCCACGGCTGCTTCTTTGTGGCCGAGCACTCCGGTTCTGGCCAGGCCTCCTGCCGCTTTTGTTATGCTGATAACAAAAGATAAATATAGCAAATCTTTTATGTTTTGAGAATAACTTGGGCTTTTATATTGAAGAATATTAACAGGTACTTGTACTTAATGTGTCTCTAAAAATGTTTTCAGCTAACAGATGGCCTTCAAGATGTCTTTTTGTTTTTCTGAATGAATGAGAAATCAGGAAAAATTCTGGCCACTACAAAAACAAGCTCATATTCAGCTAAACAAGAAATAGTGAGGTTTCTAATTTTGGTTTATGGAAGTCAGTTTTTTTCTTTAGACTCTAAAAATTCGTGTAACAAAGACAGTTTTAATTGTGTATTTTAAGCCGATGTTCAGTTTTTTCCCTCACATCAGAACGAACATTAAACCTAAAGAAGTCCAGGTTTCTGTCACTTTGGAAGAAAGGCTGGGGGAGCATGAGACAGACAAAAGTTGTGCTGCGTGGCCGTCCTTGGAAGGTTTTTCCATCAAGGAGGCTGCCCAGCTTCTGCCTCCCCCAGCCGGCCCAGGGCGCTGGGTCAGAGGCCCCCAGAATCCTCAGCTCCAAACAGAGCTGTGCCTGTGGTGTGGTTCTGTAATCGTTTTCTTTGGCTTCGGGGTGAGTCTCTCCTATGCTGGCTGCATTCTTTCCTCACCCTGTCCTCTGTCCCTGGCTCACTTCAGCATGTCTCGTCCTTGTCCCCCTCCCTCCCAGTCTGGACTCACACATCCCCCTTCTTTCCCTCCCGCAGGAGTCATCAGGTTGAGGGGACAAGGGCGGGTGTCTCCCTGAGTACCTGACCGAGGCCTGTGCCTAGAGCAGCTTCTGGCCCATGGAGTCCTTGGTGGGGTGCTGCTGTTGATTCTGAGAGGCCTGGGCCTGG